CCGCTGTGGCCCTAGCCTGGGGCAGGAACACACACCGCACAGGTGCACTCCTGCAGGCACACCCCCTGGAGCCTGCTGCTGTGTACCCACCCCAAGTGACTACTCACGTAGCCTTCCGAATCCATGGCCATGTCCCCTCCATGCCCTCCAGAGTTAATGTACATACACAGTTCACCCGGGCAGGCACTCCCATGCCGTGATGCATAAACACGCGCACCCCAGTGTCAATAACACCTACATGCACACATTGTGCAGACACGCCTGTGTTCATAATGCACACACGTATGCCAGTTCCCCTGTGCATGCACACATTACACTCAGTCCACAGCCAGTTACTGCGCATCAGCTGTGCTGCACCCCCTCTGGGTGCTGGGGGGGAGGGTATGTTAAATACCCTCCGGCGCCACCACGCTCACTCTTGCTCCGGAAGGCAAGGACCCAGGCAGAGCTGGGGCCTGAGAGGCTGAGGGGGGCTATCCGCAGAGATCCAGGAGGGGTTCGGCAAGAGCCAGAGCCCCCAGCCCTGGAACTGCCCCCTGTCCTGCTGCAGGATATCCCAGGACACCCGCCCATCGCCTGCTCCGCGCAGCTGAGGGACCAGGCAGGCCAAGAGTTGCCAGATCCTCAGCAGCAGTCTGGGGGGTCTCAGCAGTGGAACCTGAGGCCCGGGGACCTCTAGGGCTGTGGTGCAGCCTACTCAGCCCACCAGGAAGATGGCCCGCCCCTGCACGGTTATCACTGGCTTCGTGGAATGCTTGGTCTCGGGACCCCAGGAATCGCCTGCCCTGGGCCCGGTGCTCCTTTCAGCCTGTGGCCTAGCCAGAGAGCTGGGCCTCAAGGGCCTGGGGCAGGGGGACTAGGGTGCTGGGGGAGCTCCTCCTTGGGACCCCAAGACCCCAGCCGGCCTTTGACTGATCGACACTGGCCCTGAGGCCCTGTGGCCCCACCTGCCACCGGGGAGGCCCCTGCTGGGTGTGGAGGCCTGGCTGCCACTCCAGCCTGTCCTGCTGGGGAGTTCCCCCTGTGGGCAGGCCCTCCACCAGCCTCTGCCCAGGATTCCTGGCATTTCTTCCTGGTGCTCCTCCCCATTCCTGGGGCCCTCTTCCCGCCGACAGCAGGCCCTCGGCACCGGGACCCGTGCCTCAGGAGCCCACCACACCTCCCATGGCTCTTCTTGCCACAGGCAGGGGGAACAGGCTGCAACATGGACTGGTTCTGTTAAATGTGAAAATAAAGGACCCCTTTACTAGCTGGTGGAATGCCTTTGGTCCTTTCCTGCTGGTTGGCAGCAGGGGCCCTGGCTGTGGGTGCAGACTCACTACCCTGGCATGTGGGTGTGCACACCCAGCACCCGGGGAGTGGGTGGAGGAACGTTCAGTGATCCACCTTGGCCTACCTGCAGTAGTAGGAAGGTGGCAAAAGCAGAGCTCATTGGGCTGGCTGGAGGGCTCAGCTAGGGTCCGATGACCACAGGCACCTAGTCTCTCCCCTCTGCTCCAGGGGATTTGTCAGACAAAGCCTGGAAGAGTGTGAGGGGCCCTCAGCTGACATCTGGTTCAGGCTGGAGACCCTGAGACAGCACACGGTGAATTCAAAATCAAGTGTTCCCCGCCCCCCCCAGCACAGAAAGGCTCAGGGAGGGATGCCAGTGAAGAGGAGGAGGAGAAGGAGGGCTTTGGGCCAGGCCTTAAAGGGTGGGGAGACAGACGGAACATTCGAGGCGGGAGGGTGGGCAATCGTTCAGGGTTCGTAGAGTGGGGGCCTGGCCAGCACTGATCACTCCAGAAACCCAGGCCGTGTGGGTAGGATGGATTGTGGAGCGTGTGCAGTCTAAGCTCTTGGCCACATAGTCTGAACCCCTTTCAAGTTGGTTTAAATTAAAAAGGGGAGTTCATCGGGAGGACATGGGAGGGTCTCCTAGAATCCTGGGGTGGGAAAGACTGCCAAGCCTCCGGACAGCCTGGGGTGGGACTCTCCTGCCCCTTCCCTCTGCCTCTGCCTCTGCTTCTCCCTCCGTGTTTGCTCGTCTTGTTTTTCCCTGCAGAGCAGCTTTCTTTGCTCTTCCTGAGCTTGATGGAAGAGAATGCCCACGCCCCCCCCCCAGTCCCATGTCATCAGACAAACACAGAGACAAGCTTGAAATTGCCCTGATTCTACTTTCTCTCAAGAGAGACAGACCCAACTTAGCCCCCCCCAGGTCAGAATAGCAGGAATCTCTGGGTACAAGGCCATATACTGAAAGCTTATCTGGATCCTCTCCAGATCTTTTGGGGGAGAGCATTCAGAGAAGAGGCATGCTCCTCCACAGACAACCCGAAAGCCAAGGCCATGGGGGGGTGAGGGCGTGTGTGTCTGTGTGTCTGTGTGTGTGTGTGTGTGTGACATGGTGGACACCAATTAGCCAGGGAGTGACTTGGTAGATAGGAGAGGAAGGGCAGCGGCAGGAGGCTGGTGCTCTATAGGGAGTTCGATGACTAGTGTCTGGTATAGGTGGTGCCAAGGAGACCAAGGTTCTTTGAAGACCCCTGGGATAGATAGGGTCTGACCCCCTCAGGCCCCTCTTCCCCAACACCCGGTTTCTGTGCTGATAGGGGCACACAGCCATTCTGATGCCTGCTCTTGGCATTAAGCCCCTATCCACTCAAGCTGTGGGGGTCAGCAGAGCCCAGTCTCAGCATCCCAACGGGGGGGGGGGTGGGGGGAGGCAGAATAGGCCTCCTCTCCATTCCATGGTGACGTACCTCAGGCTTGACATCTCGTGACTCATGCGGTCCCGGTCACGCCTGGTGTGGGCAGAGCCACTCTCTGGCCCCAGAGGTGGGGCTGTGCTGGGTGGAATGTGGCAGCTGTCGAGCATCTGGTTAGCAATGCAGCCGAGCAGCTGAGCGCTGGAAGGTGGGGTGGCCAACCACCGCAACCGACCAGGGCAACAGGCCATCTGAGCCTGGACTGGGAAATGTGTCATGAGGGCCCCATTCTAGGTCAGGTCCCTAATCTGGCCTCCAGATGGAACGTCTCCCATCAACCAAGGGTTGTAATTCCTAAGAATTCCTGATTCTCCCCTGCAAGTTTTTACTCTCTGCTCAAACCACCCTGAAAGTCATAAAAGTTATAACAGCCCCTGCTTGGTGAGAGACGCTGCTTCCTCCATTCTGCAGCTCAGGACACTGAGCCTCAAACAAGTCGGGTGCCTTGCCCAAGGTCACACAGCTTGGCCAGACCCAAACCCTAGGGGTGGATGGGCATCAAGGAATAACCTAGGGGAAGCAGGTGCTCACTGTGCTGGGGTCGTGGGGCCATGAACTGCTGCAGCCCTGGCATTGGCCCACCTTGGGACATTCCATTCTGTCCAGCCCCCTTCCTTGGGACAGCCTGGCCACTTCATCTCCCAGGGACAACCACAGAAAAGATGACCAGCTGGCCCCAGGATCCCGATCCTGGGGGCAAGATGAAGGCAAGTCTGTGGGGAAGGAGACTTCCCAGATCTAATCCCCAGGGACACAGTGTCTCTGTGTGTGTGTGTGTGTGTGTGTGTTGGGGGGGGTGCATTACTGGTGACCAGGTGTGCTGTTGGCTCAGGACAGTTCCCACTTGTACCTGTGGCTGCCAGCATAATTATGAGGACTGCCACCCTTCACTCTCAGAAATGTCCTGATTTGGACGTGAGCGTTCATCACCGCCCTGTCACTAGTCCCTGGTTCCTACACCCTGAGCCCCACTCCCCCCAGGAGTTGGAGGCTTGGCTTATTATCATCCCAGTGGACTTGTCCCCCAAGCTTCAGCTTCCTGGCTTTTCTTTTCTGTAAAATGGGAACACCAAGTCCTATTTCACGGAGTTTTGAGAATTAAACGACATAAATCTCTCCTGTACTGATCTAGCAAAGTGCCTGATGCATAGTGAGTGCTCAAGAAATAGATTTTATTGGGTGCCTGGGTGGCTCAGTTGGTTAAGCGACTGCGTTCGGCTCAGGTCATGATCCTGGAGTCCCGGGATCGAGTCCCCCATTGGGCTCCCTGCTCGGCAGGGAGTCTGCTTCTCCCTCTGACCTTCCTCCTTCTCATGCTCTCTCTCTACCATTTTCTCTCTCTCTCAATAAATAAATAAAAATCCTTAAAAAAAAAGAAATAGATTTTATTAACAAACCACAAATCATTCTGATTGATTTAAAGTGTCACTAATGTCTTCGTGGCACTTTGTCATTATGCATTTTCCCAACTCCAAAAAAAAAAAAAAACCCCTGAAAGTTTTCATATTTTTCTTTCAAGAGTTAAAAAGTAAATGTTGGGGAGACTGGCCTGCCTTCCAAAGTGCGTGCGGCGCCAGGGGCCACGGGAACGAACAGCTTCGGCTGGTGGAGCGCTCGCTCGCTGCCGCCGGGACCGTATTTCTTCCTTAAGGCTACCCCAAGTACGTCCTGAGATCGTCCCCACTTTCTTTTTAGGGACACCGCGGCCCCGGGCGGGTAAGGGGCCTGGGGAGGTCCCGGGTGGCCCCGCGCCGTGCATTTTCCGCGCCCTCCAGCAGAGGGGCGGGCGGCGGGCGCGGCGTCCCGCATAATAGGCGCTTTGATGCCGACGGCCGGGCGGGAGGGCCCGGGGCGGGAGGGGGGGGCGGGGGAAACGGGGGGGGGAGGGCGGGAGGGGTGTGTCCGGCCGCCCGCGCCATCCCTCCGCCCCTCCGTCCCGCCGCCACACGCCGCCGGAGCTCGGACCGGGCGCCTGTCCCTCCTCGTCGTGCCTCGCCGCGACCGCCACGCCCCGAGCCGGCGGGAGCCCGGTGCTCACCATGTCGGTCGCGCTCAGCAACAGGTTCCAAGGTAGGCGCCGCCGTCCCCGCGCTGTCCCGCGCCCC